CCAGCAGTACGTAGAGCGGTATTTAAGCAGTCCGTAGATCAGAAATTATTATAAAATATCCGGCCGCAGTCGTCTGCGCATCCCAGCCAGCATTCTGCAGAATCACACTTCTGTCGGATGATACTGTTACATAGTTTTTGAGCGTACTAGTTATGTCCACGTTTCTGTTACGATCAACCTCCACACCGTTAAGTTCATATCGAATCTCATCGAATATAAACGCGACGCAATTATTTTCCAATGCCACGTTAGCACCCGGATCACTTTGTTCTTCGTCAGTTTTCCCTCGATGAGATAGAAAGCTTTCGTACGGCAGTGTGTACAGATCCTGTTGCTATATGGGTATTCTTATTTCGTAGCTGTACCCGAACGTTGTGTTGGCGAACGGGTTGTACGTGTGAGTCTCAATCTTGACGATGCGATCGTCGAAGATCGGCTCGTCTTTAATATAATATTTAGAATATCACTCATCTCAAATGTTGCGCACCGCGAATCCCAAAGACTTTAAAAATGTAACGTTCGACGCGCTGAGCTTCTTTTTCTTCCTGATGCAGTTGGATGAGCGAGTGTTATCGAGCTGTGACGTCGTCGGCTTTGTAAAGAATACGTTATCTCTCTGCATGCGCTTTGTTCCGTTCAGCACGAGCATCTCACGCTCACTGTTGACGTCGTACGTGCAATCTAACGATGATATCTTCTCCTCGAAAATCTACCAATCGTCCGTTCTGGTCGACGATGCGTATCGTTAGATCCGTAATGCTCCGTGCGATGATCGGTAGGTAAATGATCTGCGCTGGCCTCTCCGATATCTTATATCCTAGCGGCACGCTCGGCGAAAATTCGTGTATCCTGTGCGCGCTTTTACCGTTGCTGTATGCACCCGTGGTCACGTTGCACTCTACGCGGATAACGTTTACGTTCATTATGTTGATCGACATGTCCGATTCGTGCCATCTTCGCGGTCGCAGTATGCGCTTCGACGAGAATCCCAGCAGCGATCCAATGCTGTTGGGTTTGTCAAAGTTTATTCTGTACGCACATCTAATCTCGCATCTCATCGTGTTGTAGTTTGCGCGGAGCGTAATCGGGTATTCTCTACCATCACCATTATCGTCGGCGTCATTGTTGTTATTATTTTCACGCACTACGTCAATGGTTTTAACTGCGTCGTGGTGCGGAAACGTTTCCGTAAAATCGCGCGTTTCAGAAATTCATTTATGTATCGCACATCATACGTTCGGGAATTGTAATTTCGGCATCATCTTTAGCAAAATAAAATTTGTTGTTCGATTTATTCACGTTCGGTATTGTGTGATAAGTCTCAAAAATCGCCAGACCGGGCTCGTAATCATCGTCACTCAAATCTATGGCGGGAAAGTACAATAGCTTGCCGCGAGGACGGTGCTCTTCCCGCTCAGCGTAAGCGTCAGCGACATGACGGTGATCGACTAATACTGAGATTTCACAGCATCTCGCCGAGCTTTTTAAATTCACGCGCGGTTTTCTACCTCTTGTAGAAACCGCAGGCACATTTGTCCGCAGAAGCTCTGATCGTACGTCTGATAGGACGTACGATTGTACTCTATCGTCGTAGCACCGTTC